TTACCCTCTTAGCATCTTGGCACGCTATGTTGCTCCTGGGAGACACAGACCGGAGCACATGACAGCAGCGAAGAGGGTGTTGCGCTACTTGTGCAGTACGTCGAGCATGGGGCTTGTGCTTGGAGGGCAGAGTCCAGTGGTCCTTACTGGGCACGCAGACGCTTCTTGGGCTGACGACCAGGCTACGCAGCGGTCGTCACAGGGTTACACCTTCAGCCTTGGTTCCGGCTCTGTTTCGTGGCGGGCTACTCGCTCGTCTTCTGTTCTCGGCTCCAGTTGTGAGGCTGAGATCTACGCAGGAGCCATGGCTGCACAGGAGCTTCGCTGGCTCACCTACCTGCTGACTGACCTCGGAGAGCTGCCTCATTCTCCTCCAGTGCTGTACGTAGACAACAAGGCCATGCTGGCCTTGTGTCGGGAGCAGCGACTGGAGCAAAGAACGAAGCACATTGCTCTCCGCTACTTTCTTGCTCGTGAGCTGCAGCAGCGTGGTCAGCTGCGTCTTGCGTACGTGGCCTCTGAGGCCAACACTGCTGATATCTTCACCAAGGCGCTTGCGCCTTGTGACCATCAGCGTTTCTGTACTCAGCTGGGCCTTGTGCCTACCTTGCCTCAATTGCTCACCTCTTGACCTTGCTTGTACTGTTACATATATATATTTATATATACCTGCTCTTGCTTGTCTAGCCTTTTTTATATATATGTACTCCTGCATGTGAACTGGCCTTGTGGCCTTGAACTTGTGCTCGGAATGTGTGGTGACTTTGTGATCCACCCTGAGCTTGCTTTGCTTTGCTTTGCTTGACTGGTCTTGTGACCCCTTGTTCTCCCCCACTTTGCCTATGGGGGTGTTTCAGAACATTATAGCTCATGCATATTGTGTAGGCTATAGTGGGGTAGCCCATAAGGGGTACAACCCAATTCGGGTTAGTACTTGTACCCAATTCATTCATAGTTCATTCATTCTCGTTTCGACTTTCACACAGCATCACGGCATGGTCCATTGCTTCGGGCCACTGGTGGCTGGGTAGCCGCATGCCACGTAGAAGCTTGCGCATGGTGTTCTGGAGGGTCGTGTTCATTTGTTCTGCCATGCCTCGCTGTTGATGGGCGTAGGGAACGGAGATGAGCCGTTTGATGCCCCTTTCTGCTAGGTAGTCCTTGAACCTTTGTGACTGATATTCCCCTCCCCCGTCTGACTGGAGGCTTTTTACAGTAGCTTTAGTCCTGATTCTCGTTCTGCTACTGGAAGCCAGGCGACTAGAGCTTCAAAGGCCATGTCACGGCTCGTAAGGTTGAGATGCCAGACGTAACGTTTGGCGGCATCGATGAACGTGATGACGTAGTTATAAGCTCCTTGTCTGGGTTCACGGTTGTACAGTACGTAGTTGTCCGGGTTGTGGTGAGAGACGAACAGCTGATGTGGTAAGTTCACTTCAGACCAGGTAAAACACGGTCCGCGGACTCGTTGAAGTTCTTTGCCGTTGTGAAGAAGCAGTGAGTCTTTATCAAGAACACCTGCTCTTATCGTGTTGTTGAACGTTGTGTTGCTCGGGTGTCCCATCTTTGCATGCCAGATGTCTTCGCCAGCGCGATGTCCGGGTGAACGTCTGTACAAGGCGAAGTTGGAATAGAAACATGCGGTGAAGTTTGCGCTTCTGTTGACTTCTCGTGGAGTGGGAGTCAGCTGTTGCGCAGGAGTCGGTGGCGTGTCATCGATGAAGGCCGGTGCTGTTGAAGGACCAGCAATTGGAGCCTGTGTTGTCTCTGCTGCTGCCGATGTTGTCTCTGCTGCTGCCGTTGTTGTCTCTGCTACTGCCGATGTTGTCTCTGCTACTGCCGATGGTGTTACTGCTTCTGCCGATGTTGTCTGGATTGTTGCTAATGCTCTCGTTCGTTTTGCTTCAGGTATAGTGTTCGACTACCAAAAGCCGCCGGGACTGAAGTCGGGTCGAGATCCGGTGGGTGTGTCCAGGAAGTGAAGTTGACGATTCCGTCACTGTCGGCGGTGCCTTGATCTGGAACAAAGTCGAGGACGAAGACATTATTCTTCAGTATAGCCTTTCCGATGTACAGTTCGCCTCTCCCATAGTACAGCTTGAACTCCTGGGTGGTGCTGTCTGCTTCAAGATGGATTCCCTTCGCCATGAGTTGACTGACACTCAGTAAGTTGTAGCCGAGTCCTTCTGCAATTAAAACTTTCGACATTTACACAATAACGTTAGTATCTCGTGACTAAAGCTGAACTATCCCTTGTCGTCATGTGCGCAGGTTCTGGTTGTTGGCGACGGTGATGACGACTTCACGCTGCAGTTGGTGTTTCTATTTAATGAAGCGACCCGAGGAGCACATGTGTTGTCCGCAGCAGCTGTCCAAGAACCAGGTGTCTTTCCCGGCCGGCTCACTCCGGGCGATGGCTGCGTACGTCGGGTTGGGCTCCAGTGATTCGCGGCGCAGAGTACTCTCGTCGAGTTGTTCTTCAGGTGAGTGGTGTGGTGGAGATTCGGTCATGCAGGAGTCCGTTATCCTTCTCATGTAGCTCACGATGTTTTTTGCACCTTGTGCAGGTTTTGTCATTGATGTCATTGAGGACTGTACTTGACTGGTGAGATGCGCTTGTGTAGAATTAACTTGACTACTTGAGGGCCGAAGATGACGTTGCGGCGGTGCTGATGTTTGCTCTGTCAATTATTGTTGTTGTTGTAGCGCCGTTGAGTGTGAAACGCGAACTCTGGTGTTGACGCTCTTTCTTGTGACGCTCTTCGTGCAGGTCCATATCTTAATGTTCAGCCTAAATTTTGACGCAGAGTGCCAGTTCGGAGATCTTTCCGTGAGCTCGGAGGACAGCTCGAGTCGAACGCCAATGTGGACCGAGGCCGGAGATGACACGTGTTACAAACGCTTCTTTGGATATCGATCCTCCGCATCGAAGTGTCAGTAGAGCTACACTGTGAGATCCCTGATCGATCCTAGGGGGGGTTAGAGGCGCGTTTGCCTTGGGGGTTATGGGCGCACTGACCCGCTACTGAAAAAAAGCCCTTTTATCCCAATGGTCTAGTGGTTGGGATTCTGACACGAAGGAGTCTATCGCGTAGTCCGCGACACCGGCTGATATACGCCAATCCCTTTTCGTCGGGTTTCATTTCCACTATTGTCAGCTGTGCCATGAGACGACTCTGATTGACGCTGTCTATTGCTTGATACATGTTGTTCAGGTGGTCGTATGCGAGCTCGACGGAGTTGCCATATCCACTATAAGACCGAATGTTATGTTGCTCGTTCAGCGTGATGTTGCGTAGGAGAATCGTATACACCATCAGAGACTGATACGTATACTGTTGTTTGTCGTACTGCGTCCCGTGTGTTGGGTATGGCAGGGGTCCGTCGAAGAATCCGAGGATCTGCGCACCTTCCATCATCAGCTCGAATTCGAAGGACCAGGTATAAAAGTCCTTTCCGTCGAAGGGTGTCGATGTCTGTAGTTTTAGGACGTGTGCGAACTGTGATTGAACTTGAAGTGCGTCCAGTGTCTTCTCCTGTCTAGGCGGAGGCTATTGGTGCGGCATGAGGCTGATGGAACCACGCTGAGGCACGTACGGAGCAAAGGTAGGTTGCTACTAGTTTCCGCTAGCGTAGGATGAGCCGTCAAGACTCGTTGGAGCAACGTCGTTGTTGTTGTCGCTGCTGTTTGACTGCGCAGGTGCTGTTCGTAGAAGGATATGAAGGAAAAGAACTTTTCCATCATGTTTGGATCGAAGCCGGTCGTTTGATTTGCGGGAGTCTCAGTGGACTCAGCAGCTGGTCTTGTCGCCGTGCCTCCCTTTGTCTGTAGGCCAGAGGCTGGAGGTGGAGTAGGGGTAGTGCCGGGAGAGTCGTTAAAGGAGCTTCTCTCCTTCTGTGTTGCCATGTCTTCTGATGTTGTAGGAGTTTTAACAAAGTTGAATCTTGCCTTGTCTGCTCTCATACCATGTTGGGCTGAGAAAAGCCTTTAGGATCTTTCAAGGCTAAGATTCTGACAAGAATGTTGTATTGCGGAAGCGTTCAATGATAAGTTGTTGAATCACCTTGCGCTGGTGTGTGAGGGCCAGATTGATTAATTATAAGGAAGTAATACAAGCTTTTGTAAGATTACAAGGAATATGAAAGGATGCTATAACTGTTTTACTGTTCCGGTTGCGGTTCGATACAGTGACGACTCGGGCAACTGCTCAATATCGAGTCAATTGTTTGTCCTTGCTGTTGCACTGTATTGTCGAGTCAAAGGTCCCTGACCTTTGACCTTCGCGTAACCTCCGACCGCTACTTTTCATTCAACCTCCTAGATTGACTCGCGATTGCTTCGCTGTAGCTTGCCTCGTTTATGGTTCGATGTTACGACACATAGGAAGCGTTAAATTACATGTTTCCAACATGTAGGAGGTATAGCACTGGAGAAGCTTTTTGGCATGTCAAAGTCAAACAAATTAAAAAAAGGGTGTGCTTATAATGACGATTTCAAACGGGATTGTGTAGAACAGAAGAATGTGTTACTAAGGTTGTTTGGGGTACATAAACCTAACCCTAACTATTGTACCCCATATAACACACTTACTAAAACTATAACGTCTGACAGGGATGCGCTTATGAATGAGGATCGGCCATAAGCACATTGCTCCAAATACAAGCGCATGTGCTTACGGTAACATAGGCCTCCGCTTATATCCGGAGCCATACAGTACCAAGGCCATAAAAATTACATATTTATTGTTTGACTTGATTAGAAAAAAAACACACAAAAATCACTGACAAAGAAGAATACGGTACTTCAAAAACAATACCACCCGATACAATACAAGCAGATAAAATATTTCAGCATGCCCTTTTCCAGCTTGACCCCTCATTTGATGCATGCCGGTAGGTGCTTTCACGAACTCCCCATTACAACGCACGCAACTTGCATGAAAACGGCACACGAGGCGGCAGGAAGTGCAGCCATGGTCAAAGGCGGCTTCACTAGGCTTCTACGGCGAATCGAGCGAGCTGTCAACAGCAGCCCCTTCCTCACGCTTGCTGCCTGCAGCAGCTTGCCCCTTGTCTCCTCCGGCATCTAGCAACTGCGCAAGCCCGTTGCTGCTCTGCTGCAGGAAAGGCCGGCAGTCAGCGGTGGGGGAGGGCTTGACGAGGGTTTCGTGGATGAAGGCGATCTCCTGGCAGTGCAGGCACTGCGGGTTGGGCTCCACGTGGAACATGCGGTACCCCAGGCTCTCCATTCCATACACCAGTGGCAGCGTGCGGTTCGGCATGTCCGTCCTGCGATGCACACGGGGAGAAAACGGAGACTGTTTGCTGGCTGCAAGAGTAGCGGGGAGTTTAGGGGTTGGGCTTGATGTGGAACGTAAGACGAGTGCGAGAGGAAATGCTGTTGGAAACATTGCTCCTGCACGGGGAGTGGATGGGAAGTTGATAGGTTGAAGATTGTAGACAGGGAGTATGGGGTGTGTACGAGGTGGGGAGGTGTGCGCGAGAAGGTGAAATTAGACATGCCCGTCCTGCATGGGGCATGGATGGGAATGCTAAGAATGATCTTGTGGAAGGGGTCACAAGGGCATGGCTGTGTATGGGTGCGCACTGTCGCGTTATTAACACTTAGCTGGCAACTAAGTGTGAATATCACAGCAGCCAAGGTGAGGGTATACTATAGTTTACCGCTTTTGTACTCTAATTTCATTTGTGTGCTTGGAGTGTATTGTACTGTACTGCAGAGCCAAGTAGCTGGGGAATTTGAGGTGGTTAGTGGGAGGCGAATTCAAGGAGGTTGGTGGAGACGAATTCAATTCCAGCCTGTGAATTCAATTTCGAAGTCACCAGGCTGGAAGGCGAATTCAATGCCAGCCTGGGAATTGAATTCGAAGTCACCAGGCTGGAAGGCAGTGCATGCCTAGTGGGCCCAGTGGGAACACAGCTAGCACCTTGGAGACATCGCGAGCAGCCCGGCTGACTCGCTTGGTGCACAGGAGCTTGCTTGTGGAGGAAGCAACCTAGGCAGGGGGTGGGAATAGATGTAGGCAGGAGTAGCACTCGGGCTTCTTGCTTTTTGCTTGTATGTTTCTCATTTACTGCAATTTGTTTTCCTAATCCAGAGGGAACTTGCAGTAGGAGAAGCTATAAGCAATTTGATGGAGCCCCTGAGGGGGAGTGTTACGCTTGCTACAGGGAAGCCTGAGGTACCAGGAGGAGTGCAGGACAGAGTGATTACATACGCCAGGAGGAAGAAGGGATGAACCTGATCAGCAGTACGGGTGGCAGGGAAGGAAGGAGAGAAGGAGAAGTCAGCAGGATACACAGGGGAGAAAGGGAATGAGGGTGGACAGAGGAAGATTCACGACAGCACATGAGTGTGTGCATGTGTGTCTGAAGATTTGTGTGGTACAGAGTGAATCTGTGCGTGTGTGTGTGCGTCTTTGTGCATAAGCATAAACCTTTTATGTGCCTGTCTGTGTGTGTGTTCATGTTTGCATGTGTTCATGCCTGCATGCCATCTAACCACTGCTCCCACATGTACTCGACTCCACGCATGCACGAACCACTCTAACCGCACAGCTCCCCACCTGTGGAATTCACAGAGCATCTGGCCGAAGGGCAGCCGGCCCCCATGGATGGTGAGCGCGCCCATCTTGTTGTGGTTGGCCGCCACCAGCTCCTGAATGAAGTGCTCCTCGCACCCCTCGCAGTCCACCTTGAGCACGTCAATGTACGAGTGCCCCAGCCGCTTCATGATCTCATTCAGTCGCATGAACCTCTTCTGTGCCAGTGAGTCGTGGGAACACGGGGCAGAGGAGGCAGGAGGAGCAGGGGAAGCAAGGGGGAGCAGGGGGAGCAAGAAGGAGCAACGGGGGAGCAGAAAAAGGTCAGTGCGCTTTTCAGACATCCAGGCCCCCCTCCCCCCTCCGCACGCACTCCTCGCACCCCTGGCAGTCCGCCTTGAGCACGTGAATGTACACGCCCCTCATAATCTCGCCCACCCGCATGACCCTCTTCTGTTCCACGTGAGGCGCAGGACGTGTGGGAGAGCGGGAGACATTGGGAGCAGAGGAGGAAAGGGAAGCAGAGGGAGGAAAGAGGGAGCAGAGGAGGAGAAGGGGAGCAGAGGAGGAAAGGGGGAGTAGAGGGAGGAAAGGGGGAGTAGAGGGAGGAAAGGGGGAGTAGAGGGAGGAAAGGGGGAGTAGAGGGAGGAAAGGGGGAGTAGAGGGAGGAAAGGGGGAGTAGAGGGAGGAAAGGGGGAGCAGAGGGAGGAAAGGAAAGGGGGAGTAGAGGGAGGAAAGGGGAGCAGAGGGAGGAAAGGGGAGCAGAGGGAGGAAAGGGGGAGCAGAGGGAGGAAAGGGGAGCAGAGGGAGGAAAGGGGGAGCAGAGGGAGGAAAGGGGAGCAGAGGGAGCAGGTGCAGCCTCATGATCTCGCTTACCCACATGAACCTCATCTGTGCTCGTGGGCCATGGAAACAAAGGGGAGCAAGAAGAACAGGAGAGAGGGTGAAAGTGGGAGCGAGGGGGAATTATTGGGGCAAAAAGAGCAAGGGGGGTAAGGGGGAGGAGCATACGGAGAAAAAGGGGAGAGCTTTCCAGGCACCTTGACAGCCACCCAAGCACTCCTCGCACCCCCCAACCTCGAAGCATGCCGTGTTGCATGAATCACCAATTTCTCAGCCACCCTCACGCCACGCCTAGTCTGCTCTTTAAACTCTCACGCTTGGCTAGTCAATCCCGCATGAGCCTTCACCTGCATACGTGGGTGGGTGGAGGGAGAGAGTTTTGAGGCATCTCAACACATGCATGACATGAGCCAGCTGCCTGAGGTGCATCTTGGGGGGAGAGCAGGAGCAAGGAGAGGGGGCAGAAGACGGGGGGAGGGCAGGAGAAAGGGGACAGGGCAGGAAGAATGGGGGAGGGCAGGAGAAAAGGGGGAGGGCAGGAGGAGGGCAAGAGAAAAGGAAAGGGCAAGAGAACCTCGCACGTTGGGGCACCAATCGCACCTTGGCTTGGGGTACCGCATTTCATCTTGAGGTACCGCATCGCACCTTGGGGTACCACTTCTTGTACTCGTTGATGTCAGCGCTGCTGGCAACGCCAATGCTGTGGAAGCGCAGGAAGGGGAGGGCCTTCATGCGCGCCTGGGCCTCGGGAGGGATGAAGGGGTCGAAGGTGTCCGTGCGGATGTGCAGCTCCTGGCTTATCTCACTCTCAAAGGAGAACGACTCGTTGCTGCCGATGCTGCAGGGAGGAGGGGATATGAGGGGCGGAGTAAGGGGAGGGGCCATATGATATGATGGGCTGATCTGTTGCGCTTGATGTGCTCATGAGCTGATGGGAAGATGTGAACGGGTCGAAGGTGGGTGAGGGTCGAGGTCGGTGCGGCGGTCGGTGCAAAGGGTCAGCCGTGGCAAGACGGAGGGTTGATGCTGTTGGTGTGCGGATGTAACGCTTCTGAATGAATACGTACTTGCAGGACACAAGACAGACATTCTAGATAATGTTTAGGTGGGCAATGCTGGTGGCTCAACGGTATGTACAAAACAACATATGGGTAGGACACTAAAAAAAGCATATGCGGCACAACTTTGATAGCAGGTAACATACAAATGATAGCAACATATGGGCAACACATACAACAGACCTGTACACTAAGGGCTTGGGCTGAATGGTGGACGGCAGCATGCATGTCCACTGGTGCAGCGGGACGGGGAATTGGAGGAGCAGAGAGGAAGGAGTGGAAGCATCAGTAAGATTGTAAGGAGCTGAGCATGTAAGACTGCAACGCAGCATGCATGTCCGTGGTGGTGGATGAGTGGAGGAGACAGGGTGGGCGTGGTCGGGGTGGGTTGGGGCAGGGGGTGAGGGGAATGTGTGGGTGCATCCGTGGGTGTTTTGGAAAGCGCACGAGGAAAGTCAGCACCACTTAGCACTGAATACATGTTTTCAATCCCTTTTCATACAGTCACACTCGCCTTGCCTTGCCTTGCCACCGTCGTCACCCCACATACCCGGACTCTTTTTTCCACCGAAACTGCTCGGCGCGCCACCCTACACACACGAGGATAGCACATGGGGGGGCTCACCCCTCCCTGGATACATTCCATCTCAAACATTCCTCACTCCATCCTTACCTTCCCCTCCCCCCCTTCCTTCTCCCCCCAATCCAACCCAATGCCCCACCGCGTTTCTCATTTTGCAACGTGGTCACTTGGAGTAGAATCAGAAAATAAAACCCCATCTCCACTGCCCCACCACCTTCCCTCATCCTTATCCTCACCCCATTCTTACCCATCCCCACTGCCAAACCACCTTTCCTCATCCTTAACCTCAACCATCCCCACTGCCCCACCACATATCGCCATCCTTACCCCCCAACCCATCCTCACCCGACCCCCATTGCCCCACCGTCTCTCTCACCTTGCCACCATCACCCCACACGCCCAGCCGCTCCTCCCCGGGGCACTGGTACGTGGGCACAAGGATGCGGATGAGCATATCTGCACCGTCCGTTACATCTAACGGCTGAAAATGGCCGCCATTGAAGTCCTTGCGCCGTTGCACGTTCAGCTGTTATGGGGATACAAATGGGTGAAATTCAGTTGTTGAATTTCACTAGCATGGTAAAGCGAGGGCCATGCGCAATTATACAGTAAACGCGAAAAACGTGCACGGAACACCTCTGCACAACACTAAGCGACCTAGAATGTTTGCGGTAACTCACACAAATGCCATATATCGCTAAAGCGAAGTATACCGCTTGTATGTAACTACCTGAGGACCTTTAGTACACACCCAGTAGTTTTCTTCTGCTCGGCATTGTGCAGCGCTTATCTTGCACCCGGCAAGGCCACCGCCTTCGGGCTGCAACGCGGCGTCGATTCGCGGTTCAACCTGGCCGACTCGCCATGGCTGAAAGAAGAGTACAAACGGTAGCTCGAGAGCGAGAATCACGGCGGCAGCTACAAGATACGGTCTCGCCGCGAGCAGAAACGACGCGAAACCGCCGCCGCCGCTCACGCCGCCGCCGCCGGATTTCCCAATGTCGAGGACGAAAAAGGAGCTGCTAGACGGCATGATTGAATGGAGGACGAACCATAAGCTTCTAATAATGTCAACTAATTCCAGCCGACATAATTATGACTAGCGTGAGAGCATTTGTGACTGGAAGCAGAGCTTTTGTGAGTGAACTCGAGTGAACCAAAATGTGTGACGATACACATTCCTCGCGAGGTTCTGTTGGCGAACAAGTCCTGCGTTACTGCCACATGCATCTCGCAGGAAGAGTTTTCCAGGAAGCGATGAGGCCACCCAGTCAGCGACGAACTCCCCTTCACCTTCACGAAATAACTCTTCGTGAACGCAAACTTCGACAAAAGTGCAAATCGGCCAAATGTCGAACAAAATGATTTCGTCGACGCGTGCGACATGTTTGCGAAGGAATTTTGTAAACAGAACCCAGCACCACTCTTCCTCCACTTCCCCTCCGTTTCTTCACCTCCCGTTGTAGTCACATCAGTTGCTGCACACCAAGACAATCACCAGTGCCAAAGCGCGCCAGATCTGTCAACAGTACGTCTCGTCGCATCGCTTGAAGCGTCGACGACTTTGGTGGAGAATCTGTTGATCCGCCAATCATGGCGCTGGGCGAGGCAACGCGCGTGGCGCTGCAGGTGTTCAAAGCGACGGGCGGGCTGGTGTGGAAGCGCCACCCCATGAACCACACGCGCCGCGCCAACGCCAAGACGCGCCACGCGCGCATCCGACAGGTGCGATGGACGAGCTGGAGTGCACGTGCTTTTCACGCAGATAGAGCAACTCTCCGAAGCGCGATAGGAGAGCCGATGCGGGGACGAGCGGACGAGTGGACGAGCGGATGAGCGGAGGAGAGGACGAGCGGAGGAGCGGAGGAGCGGGCGAGCGGACGAGCGGACGAGCGGACGAGCGGAGGAGCGGACGAGCGGATGAGCGGACGAGCGGATGAGCGGAGGAGCGGATGAGCGGAGGAGCGGGATGAGGTGCGCATGCAGCGTGGCAGCATGCCTGGGTGCACTGCTCCGCGGTTCCCCGCATGGATGTGCCTTGGCGCCCATGACGTCCCCCGCCGCACCGAGGAGTCCCTTGCTGCCTCTCTTGCTGCACCCCCCTTCCGGACCCATTCCCCCATGGCTTTCCACAAGACGGTCAGCAGGCTGTGTCCGTTGAGAGCAGTGCGGGGCGCTGACAGCAGGCTGCCCGGCTCGCCCAAGGGCTCCACACGCCCTGCCATGCTTCCTCATCGGCGAGCGGCTGTGGTGACGCAGAGGTTGAGCACTGCCCACATGGCAGCTTGAGTCCACGTGGCAGCTTGCGCCCACGTGGCAGCTTGAGCCCACGTGGCAGCTTGAGCCCACGTGGCACCTTGAGCCCACACACGTGTTCGTAGCGTGCGCAGCCCGATGCTGCTCCTCCCAACGCTGCGCACTCTTCACTCTCTTCCGCCCTCCCTTTCGGTGCCCCCCTATCCCCCCTTGTTCCGATCTCCCTCTCGCAGGCAGAGGAAGTGCTGTGGGTGTGTGCTGTGCTGCTGTGCCCCCCCCTGTTGCTACTCCCGCCCACTTTGTGGCCCCCTCCCTCCTGTTCTTTCCTCCTCCCCTGCCGCCCCTTCCCCACCTCCGTCCCCACACCTCCGCCATGCGAAAGCAGGCAGAGGAGGTGCTGGGAGTGTGTGCGGCTGAGCCGCCTCATGCTGCTGAATTGTCTCATATTGTGATGCCCTCCCTCCTCCTTGCCTCCTCTTCCCCACCCCCAACCCCCCCCCCCCCTCCCCAACCCCCCCCTCTCCACCATGCGGAAACAGGCGGAGGAGGTGCTGAGAGTGTGTGCTGCTGCGCCGCCACATGCTGCTGCTGACTCCGCCCACTGCCCTCCTCCCCACGAGGCGGCATCGGGGCAGCACGCACACGGCACAGCACAGCAGTGACCCGTGCCGCCGGCAGCAAGAGCATCATGGGCAAGCAGAAGCACAGAGTGTGTGGCGGTGTAAGGGATTGACGGCAGCGTGGTAGCAGCACACAGTGCGGTGCAGTGACAGGCAGCAAGGGCTGTGCGCACTGGGTGGTTGGAGGAGGGGATCGCCACGCGCTGGTGGGTGGGCACAGCGCATGGCAGCACCACTGTGGGCCTGTCTTGTGCGCCGTCACGCTTCAACACAAGGGCACTGGATGGGTGGCCTGTGCTCCGGCACAGGAGTTTTGGGAGTGAGGTCGTTCTGAGCACAGGTGAAGATGCGGTTCCTTCTCACTGCTCTCAGATTTGGCACAGGACAGAATGTGGTCTCACATGACATCAGCACAGAATAACACCCATAAGAGCACTGAAGCAACAGCAGCTGCAAAAGCAACAATGGCTGCCTTTTAACCATAGCAGACGGCTCCCTTTTGAATTCTTGCTTGCAGAGAAAATGCATACTGGTAGGTACCTTACTAGAGTGTGTCAACTTGCCTTTCTAGCAAGGTATATGTACTGTTTGCTTCACACGAATGATCATTGTTTGTCAGTGAAAGTCCATGGTTGAAAAATCACTTACGGTTGCAACATGTATGGTTTGATAAGGTGAACAGATGAGAGCAAGCCTTAGTATTAGCATGGCATGGTGGCCCTGGCTGCAGCAGCAAGGCCAGCCCTAGTCAAAGACAGGCACCTTGTCCAAAACAGTCCATGTGGTGTGGTGCGGTGCGCTGTGGTGTGGCCTGGTTCCTACGACAATCCCACTCACGAGCATCGCCGTACGTTAAAACCACGGCTTCAATAAGCGTCAAACCACCTCAAATCATGCAACAGTGGCAGCAGCAGCAGCAGCAGCAGCAGCAGCAGCACCTTGGGCCAGACCAGCCTTGGCCATGGCGAGGGCGCCCTCGTACGTGTGGTTACCACCGATGAACCCACTCATGTGCACAAACACCCCCCTAGGAATGCTCGACCGCTCCGACAGCTCATCGTCGCGCAGCCCCCTCCAGTCGACAGGGAGCGGGCAGCGGCTCTCAAAGCTGCCTGGCGCCACTGAAATGGCCTGCACCCTCCACTGCTTGGCCCGGTCGTCCTGCAGGGGCCAGGCAGGTGCAGGAAAGCAAGTGGGGGAATGAGGGGGTGAGAGAAACATGTCCGCATCCCCTCCAGTCCATGGGCAGCACGCAGCGGCTCTCGAAGCTGCCCGGCGCCACTGTAATGGCCTGCACGCGCCACTGTAATGGCCTGCACGCGCCACTGTAATGGCCTGCACGCGCCACTGTAATGGCCTGCACGCGCCACTGCTTGGCCCGATTGTCCTGTGGAGGTGTTGCCAGGGGGTAGCGCGGGAGTGACGAGGAGGGGAGTGAGGGGAATGCAGGGAGTGAAGGAAGTGAGGGCAGTGAGGGAAGGGAGAGGAGTGAAGGAAGTGAGGGCAGTGAGGGAAGTGAGGGAAGTGAGGGCAGTGAGGGAAGTGAGGGCAGTGGCAGTGAGGGAAGTGAGGGCAGTGAGGGAAGTGAGGGCAGTGAGGGAAGTGAGGGAAGTGAGGGCAGTGAGGGAAGTGAGGGAAGTGAGGGAAGTGAGGGGAGTGAGGGAAGTGAGGGAAGTGAGGGGAGTGAGGGGAGTGAGAGGAGTGAGGGAAGCAAAGGAAAGGCTCCAAAATGCACGGGTGACAGCAAGGGCCGTACCACTGCTGCACGTGCAAGTTCCACTTGTAGGGCGGCCATGGAGTGGTTGAATGCGGAGCTACGGCGAGGAGGGAGGATGAGCGGTGTATCTCACAGACCATACCTCATACAGCATGTACCTCATACAGCATGTACCTCATACAGCATGTATTTGGGCAGAGGGTTGAGCTTCAACTCCCCTTCCAGCTCACTCAGATGCCCCTTCCACTGCACCCACACAGTAATGACACACACACAGAGATGACACGCACAAACGTAGAGCAGGGTTACATGCACTCTGAGAAATGATGCACACATGACCCGACTCGCGATGACACCCAGGTAGTGGCACGCACAGAGAGAGGGAAGGTGCAGAGAGAGGCATGAGGTATGGGGACGCACAGCCCATACAGCAGATTCAGCGCGTAACAGCACAGCGGTGTGTAACAGCACAGCGGTGTGTAACAGCACAGCGGTGTGTAACAGCACAGCGGTGTGTAACAGCACAGCGGTGTGTAACAGCACAGCGGTGTGTAACAGCACAGCGGTGTGTAACAGCACAGCGGTGTGTCAGTGTCAGGTCAGCCATGCCTTGCAGAGCACCTGCTGCTGCACTCCGCTCCACCCCTCCTCACACCGGCTGCCTCCAGGACAACGTGCGCCACAAACTCTACACCCCCCGTGCTATGCGTCCCCATCCCATGTCACACAGCGTGCAGCAGGCAGCATGGGTGGTGTCGCGATTACCGGGCAGAACTGTTTGAGCGTGATGATCTCGGCAGTGCCGTGCTCTGCCACGGCGGCCGCAATGCTCTCCTCCACAATGCTGCGCGCCGGCAGCCAGCTGCGTGCCGTGTATGTCACCGCCTGCCAGGGGGTTGGTGGTGGAGGGGGTTGGGGTTTTGAGACGTCTCAAAGCTGCCAGCCAGCCGTGCGCCGTGCACGTCACCGCCTGGAGGGGAGGTTGATGGGACTGGTGGTGGGGGAGTGGTGGAGTGGGGCAGGGTGTGAACCACGAGACAGATGGCCCTGGCATTTCGGGAGGGGGACAAGGGAGTGATGAGGGGTGAGGGAGGATGGCAGGGAGGGTGCGAGCCAGAAACGACCACATGAGTCTCAGAAAGGAGCCCCAGTAGCCCTCCTTTCCGCCCTAACTTCCCTGCCCCAGCCTCTCGCCCCCTCACTCTCCCCCTCTTTCCTTGGTCTACATTCAGCTGACCAATTCACTGGGAAGTACAAGTGATTGCCCCCAATGATTTGAATCCAACTTATCGAGTTCCAAATTGGGTCACATTTTGAAAGCAAGACTACTTGTGACCAAAGGGCGGAAGTTCCCACAAAAGGCCTTAAGTTAGCCAAGGACTAAAGAGAACGAGGGTGTGAGCGTGGAGACACATGGTAGTGGGTGGTGCACAGGTGACAGGGAGGGAGAGCGGGGAAGCCACTGCAACACGCCTCGCAGGGACCACGGCCATTCTCGTCCCTCTCCCCCACCCACTACCACTCTCTCAACTCCCCTCTCCCAGGTCCCCTCGCTCCTTGTCCCAACATCGAAACCTCTTCTGTCCCCGCAATTCCCCTCCCATCCCCTCACTTCCTCTCCCCCACCCTCCTTCCCCCGTCACACCTCCACGAACTCCTCCCCAGCGAGAGCCATGGCCTTGTGAAAGGCAGCGTCCTGGGCGGCAGGGGAGGCGTCGTCGAGCCAGTCGGGGTTGAAGCGCCCCACGCGCGCCGACAGGTGCGTGTTGTTCACGTAGCGCGGCGGGTGCTCCGACTCAAACTGGTTCACCCCGTTGTCTATCGCGTCCAGCGCCTGGTGGGGAGGGGGGCGAGGGGAGGGAGGCAGGAGGGGGAAGGCGAGATAGGAGGCAGAAAGAGTTAAGGCGACAGGAGAGAGGCGGCCATGGTGGAGAGGAGAGTGAAAGGGGGCTCAAGGCATGCAAGAGATGGAGTGCGGTGAGGAGGTGAAACGAGGTGGCGAAGAGGGTGAGAGGAGCACGAGGGGCAGGGGCGCACATGTGGTGTTGCGGTGAGATAAAGTGAGATGAGATGAGATGAGACGAAACGAGATGCCCTGCAGCAAGGCGCATGTCCTCGTTACAAGCAGCCCCACATCGCATTGCATGACTTACCTCCATGAAGGAGCGGTAGACAGCGAGGTACACCTTGTGCACGTCCGCGTGGGTGTGAGGCAGCCCCATGAGCCCCGCCACCACCTCCTCCCCGTAGTGCTGCCCCACCCACACAGGGAGGGCGCAGGGCAGCAAGGGCAGGTGAGGGGCAGGGGAGGGGCAGGGGAGGGGCAGGGGAGGGGCAGGGGAGGGGCAGGGGAGGGGCAGGGGAGGGGCAGGGGAGGGGCAGGGGAGGGGCAGGGGAGGGGCAGGGGAGGGGCATGGGAGGGGCATGGAGGGGCATGGAGGGGTGCAAGGAAGGGAGGGACGGGCGGGGGTGGACAGGGGGAGAGGGGGCGAGGGAGGGGGAGAGCGAGGGCGTGAGGATGGTGGTGAGGCAAGCACCAATGATGCGCCACCTCTCCTTGCCGCTGCTCCCTGTGCCACTGCTTGCCAATCAAACAAACGGACGGGGAGAGTGGTGATGCAGCAAGCAGACGGGGAGAGTGGTGATGCAGCAAGCAGACGGGGAGAGTGGTGATGCAGCAAGCAACTCCCCGCCTTCCCTCCTTCCGCCCCACAAGCCCTGCACGTGGCACCTTGAGCCACTCACCCTCCCGAACCCTTCCCCCCGCACCCCCCTTGCCCCTTCTGCTGCCCTCCCCACCTTGTACACGGGTCCCGCGCTGCTGAGCCTGGTGCAGAACTAAGTTGGAATATACGCTTGGGTTTGTAAGCGTACTGCGTTTGTACGCTAGCGTATACACGCAAATGCGCAAAACGCAATATGTACGCTTCGATATAATGCGGGCAGCCCGGGCGAAAAAAAAAAAAGTTGCAAATTTCGAGTTCGCGATTCGCACAACATTGTTCCCACGTCGCGGACACCAATGAACTCTCGAATTTCAAAATTTGAAAGCTACACATGTTCCTACCGCATTCAACCCCAGCTTATCTCTCTCACTTCCAGCCCATCAGTCCCCACCAGCAAAGCTGCTCACGACTATAGAAGGTGAGCGTTCACCACCCAATTTTCATTCTCAGTTGTTGTACTCCACTTTCGTTTTCTACCTCCAGCTCTCAGCTTTCCTAGCCACAGCTACCATGTCTACTCCAACTTCCACTCCTGCGAGTGGCACCGCTGGTGAGGATACCGGCGCCGAGGCCTCCACCGCAGAGGAGTTTCAGCCCGATACCAACCATGTGGTGTTCAAGCACTTTCGCATCCCCATCCGCGAGAACGTGAAGGGCGTTCCGCGCATTTGCAAGCACTGCAAGCTGGAGTTCGTCGGCGGAGCCTACCGCTGCGCGCAGCACATCGTCACCTGGAAGGGCATGCGTCGCCGCGAGGTGCGCCTCTGCAATGCTGCTCCATCAACGGCCCGTAGCGAAATCCGCGCTCTTTACGAGAAGAAGCATTCCTCTCGCGACTTTAAGCGGCGGGCGGAGGAGTTCGCCCTGGAGGCTGTTTGTGGACGCGCGAAACAAGGCCGCATCAGCGACACCTACGGCGACGCGGCTGCTTGCGCGAAGACCGACGCGGACGACGCCATCTGCCTAATGTGGGCCGGCCTGCGCCTCCCGGAGCACCACGCGGACCACGTTTTGTGGCGGAATGCTGTCCGTTGCATCAACAACGTGCCAAAAGGTTACGTGCCCCCTCGTCGCCGCTACGTCGGAGGTGCGGGATTGCAGAAGACCCGCAAGAGGATTGAGCAAGACCTTTCCCCGATCGTCGCCAGCTGGAAGCATGACGGTGTCACGCTCTCGTCCGACATCATGACCGACAAGAATGGCCGCCCCCAGGCCAACGTCTTGCTCATCAACGACTACTGTGCGGTCTTCACTGAGAGCGTCGATTGCAAGCTGGAGCAGAAGACGGGTTGTACATCGCCAGCGTCCTTCGCCCCATTGTGAAGACAGTCGGCCCCGAGCACGTGGTGTCTCTCTGCGTGGACGGCGCGAGCAATTACGCGAGCGCCTTCAAGGAGTTGGCGCTTGAGTGGCCACACATTGAGTTCGTCCCGTGCGCGACGCACGTCATGGACCTGCTCATGGAGGATGTTGGGCGGATGGATTGGGCAAAGAACGTCGTGGAGCGGGCCAACGAGATCATCACCTTTGTGCGCAACCATCACTTCACCCGCGGGTACCTGAGGGGCCCGCAAGTGCAGGGGGGAAAAGGGAAGCAAGTGCTGAAGCCGGCGGGCACAAGGTTTGGCACGCAATTTATCGCCGTTTCTCGGCTTTGTGAGGTGCAGGTCTCCCTCGTGCAGATGGTGTTGAGCGAGGAATGGGAGGAGTTTGCGAAAACAAGGAAAGAAGGCGCCGAAGCCTTCAAGTCCAAGATCATGGATGACCCGTGGTGGAAGAAGGCTTCTTACTTCAGCGACTTGATGAAGCTGCCGTTCGTCGTGATGCGCGCCACCGACTCAACCAAAAAGGCATGATGGGGCGCATCTACGACACGATGCTTCAACTCACTGAAGATGTGAACGCTAAGGTTGAAGAGGGGGGGGAGGTGCTGACCCGGGCTGACAAGGCGGAGATTACCAAGATGGTGGGCAGCCTCTGGGATGGGAGCATGGCATGTGCCATGCATGTTGTGGGGCGGACCCTGAACCCCCTCAACCAAGAACAAGGCATCTTCCGCAACCACTTGCACTGCACCCGCATCTTCAAGTCTTACCTCAACCGCCACTATGACGGCATCACCATCACGCGGAAGGATGGTGAGGAGCGGCGGGCCGCCCATGTCCGGCAGGAGGGGCTGGAGGCGTTCATGACACTTCAGAGAAGTTTCGGCCTCCCTGAGGCGATTTCTGACCGTGAGTTCGTCAAGGCAGGGAAGAAGATCATGGTCCAGTGGTGGACCTGGCACGGCACCGACAACCCAGAGCTGACTGCCCTGGCTTGCCGGGTCCTCTCTCAACCCGTTTCCGCCGCTGCATGCGAGCGGAATTGGGCTTTGTGGGACGCTGTCCACACTGCACGGCGCAACAGGTTGGGGTCCGAAAAATGCCGCGACCTAGTGTTTGTTGCGCACAATTGGAACATTGTGCACAACTGGCACAAGGCCGAGGAGGGGATGGGGGCATTGGTGGGGAACATTCCCGAGCCTCCCATCCCTGAGGGGTACAAGGAAGATCGGGAGGAGGAGGTGGAGGAGGGGGAGGATGACGTGATGGAGGATGAGTATGTTGAGTAGAAAGGGGCGTGGGCAGCAGAGAGGTAAGGAGTACGGGTGGGGTAGTATAAGGCTGGATTTGCAAAGGACCAGGGAGGGAAGGGAGGGGGTATGATGGGGAGACGGTAGTTGCTCTTTGTGGGAGCAGTTAGGACGTTGAAGGGGGTGTAGGCCACCTGGAATTTGCTATGTATTTGCATGTTATTTAATGGGAAAAAAAAACTGGGGAGGGCAGAGGTATGGGTGAAAAGTGCCCCCTCCCCCTCCCCTCTCCAGAACCTTTTTTTCCTTGCCCGGGAAAGTTTTTCCCCTGCCCAGACGACCGTATTTCCAGCGTATATCAAAGCCTTCTCTGGACGTATTGCGTACTATACTCTAGCGTATACACGCATGCGTACAAAACGCGAAACGCGTATATTCCAACTTAAGTGCGGAAGCTATGGCCGAACACCCACCAACCCTGCACCCTCAATTCCCAACCCCTCACCACGCCCACCTCAAATCATTCACACAAATCTCCCCGTCTTCTCCCCCCCCCCACCCCCCACCTTGTACACGAGGCCCGCGCTGCTGAGCTTGGTGGAGAAGCCGTGGCCCAACACCTCGGAGAAGCCGCGCTGGTGGTGGTCGTAGCGGTCCGTGGCGGGGTTGTACACGCCGCCCACGTCGATCACCGCGTCCAGCTCCGCCAGCACCTGCAGCAGCGCACCACAGGAGGAAGGTGAGGAAGGGGGGGACGGGAGGGAAGGTGGGGAAGCGGGAAAGGGGGGAAGGTGGGTGGGGAAGGGGGGGAAACAGGGGAAGGTGGGGAAGGGGGGGGGGAAACAGGGGAAGGTGGAGAAAGGGGGGAGAGGTGGGGAAAGGGGGGAGAGGTGGGGAAAGGGGGGAAAGAGGGGAAGGTGGGGAAAGGGGGGAAAGAGGGGAAGGTGGGGAAAGGGGGAAAGAGGGGAAGGTGGGGAAAGGGGGAAAGAGGGGAAGGTGGGGAAAGGGGGGAAGAGGGGAAGGTGGGGAAAGGGGGGAAGACGGGGGAAGCGGTCCGTTGAGGGGTCGTACGCCCCCCCCACATCGATCACCACGTCCAGCTCCGCCAACACCTGTGGGCACCCCGGCACCAAGGAGGTAAAGGGGGAGGGGAGGGCATGAGGGAAGGAGAAGGGAGGCGCGTGCGGGGAGGGGAGGGGGTAACGTTGGTGGTGGTGGAAGCGGCGCGTTGCAAAGTCGTCCCCCCCGCCCACGCCCATCACCGCGCAGTGGCAGGTGCTGGCGGAAGTGCCCATGGGGCCGCGCCCGTCACTGCACACACCTCCGCCCGCACCTGCCACCGCACCATTGGGGGAACAGGGAGGGGAGGGGATGGGGAAAGGGGAAGGGGAAGGGGAAGATTGTGATGTTTGCAGGCGTACAGTACACGAAGGGATGAAAAGGGCGCCGCAGCGTGCGAATAACCTCCTGTACGGCCCAAAGGTCCAAGACATGGGGCATTGTGGAGGGAAGCAAAGGACGGTGGGACGGGAGGCGAGCAGCTGGTGTTTGGCTCTTTGAGTCCCGCCCCATCATGCGTGCGAGGAATTTAAGGCAGATTGATCTGGGCTTGTGCGACCTTCACCCCGCCCCTCCTCTCTGCGACACTGCGCTTGTCCAAAACCCAAAATCGTGAAATCTGAATTCTAACCCTGCTGCACGCCGAAGCTCGCACCTTTTCGTCCCTGGTGCGGATCACATCGGCGTCGCGGAACTTGAGCGTGCGGCGCAGCAGGAAGCACCCCATCGCCTCGTCGCAATGGAACGTGCCGTTGTGCGTCCCGATGCGCTTCCGCGGGGCTCCCGCCTGCTCGCCGTTCCCCGCGCTCACCGCCGCATCTGCCGCCGCGTCTCCCGCTGCCGCCATCTTGGCTCGTTTGCGCGCCGCAGACTCCTCGGCAGGAGGTGACGGTGGAGAGGCCGACGACGCCAGCACGGACGTGCCGTGGAACCCGGCGGGGAATGCGGTGGGGAATCCGTTCGCTGAGTGGCGCGCGGGGGGACACGCAAGGGTTGCAAGGAGGTTGAAGGGAGCGCTGCTGACGTGGCAGTGGGTTTGAGCGCGTGTGGCGGAGGCGAAAGAGAGGAAGGCGACGCGCAGCAGCGGCGATGCGAGGACGCGCATGGGAACGGCGCGGATGGCGGTGGTCGCACAGAGCAGCTCGGCTGTTATTGTCGCTGGAGATGGATTTAGGTAATTATAAATTATATATTGTTTAAATTAAAATTCTCATCATATGGGGATGTAGCTTAGATGGTAGAGCGCTCGCTTAGCATGCGACAGGTATGGGGATCGATACCCCACTTCTCCAGCTCCCTTCGCCTTTTCTTGACCCATAGAGAATCTTCTCGTAGCAGTCAGCACGCCGCCAGCACGAAAGCCAGCTGTTAATTTTCTCCTCGACCGACACGGAACAACGAAACAGCGTTTTCCCGCCACCACCCGCACTTGCCGCCCTCGTCTCCGCCGTGGCCCCGCCCGTCTCGTTTTCCACTCGCGCCTTATCCCCGCCGTGCGGCTCCCGTCCCCCCCTCGTCGTGCGCTCTCCGCGGCAATCCCCTCCCTGCGTGCTCCCCGCAATGTTCGCATTCGCTTCGCCGTAGGTGCGCGCTTCTTCCGCCATGCACTTCCCCGCGTCCCCCTGGCTGCGCGCCCTCGCGGGGCTCTCCGCCGCGCTCGCGCTCGCCTGCCTCTACGCCGCCGTCTCCGCCCCCTCCGCCTCCCTCCTCTCCGCCTTTGTTTCCGCGGGCGGGTATGGCGGGGGGAGTGGGGGTGAGGATGCGGGGAACGAAAGGGAAGCGGAGCTAGGCGCGCGACCGTTTGATGACGCGGAGTGGGGGGAGGGGGAAACGGGGCAGGAGGGATTAGGCGGGCAGGACCTGTTTGCGCTGGCAGCAGAGGCGGGGCGAGAGGGGGAGGCGGGGCGCGGAAGGGAGGCAGGGCTGGGCAAGGGCGAAGAGGATGCTACACTGTACCCTTCATTGGATGGCAGGTGGGCCGTGGGTGGGACGGCGTGTCAACGCGTGCACATCCGCGACGGCGTCCGCACACCTGTGTGGAGCTGCCTCCCTTGCTGCTGCTTGCACTATGCTCCCCCCCCTAACCCCCCACATTCTCGCCCCATTCCACCCTCTCATGCTGGGGAGTCAGCACTGAGTCACCCAAGAGTCAACGGTCGGTGGAGTGGAGTCAATGTTGCGTTCGTTCTTCTCCGCCATGTCCCCTCGCGCTCACCTCTACCCCTGCCCCCGCATCCCCACTGTCCCACCCCATCGTCCCTGCCACTGCAAGCGCCCACCACGAGGGCGCCGTATCTCATTCCATTCCTACCTTCCCCCCACCCCTTCCCCACGCTTCCCCCTTTCCCCCCAATCGCTTCCCGTGTCCCACGTTCTCCCAGTTCCCCTGTGCTGGCACTGCTAGCGGCGCACAGGCGGCGCATGCAGCAGCGAGTGGAGGAGGCGCGGGTGCACGCAGAGCGGGACGAGCAGCGCCTGCACGCCGCTGTCAGGGCCGCCGTGCGGGTGAGCGTGCAAGGGGGGGGGAGGGGGGGGGAGGGTGTGTACGTGGAGGGGGGAAGAGGGTGTGTACGTGGAGGGGGGAAGAGGGTGTGTACGTGGAGGGGGGAAGAGGGTGTGTACGTGGAGGGGGGAAGAGGGTGTGTACGTTGAGGGGGGAGATAATGTAGTAGAGGTGGTCAGTTATAGGAAGTCATACTTTCAGCCACGGTGCGTTGACTCAAAAGTTCAGCCACTGTGTAGGACTGAGCGTGGAGCAGAGAGGGGAGGAGGCGGAGAGAGGAGCTGCGAGATAAGGAGAAGGGGAGGCGAGGGGATTAGTGGAAGGGAAGGCGAGGGGGTGGTGACGTACAGTCTCGTCTGCATGCTCGCTGTCACCCTCCTTCCCCTCCCACCTGCATCACCACCGTTCGCCTTTGCCCACTAACTACAATAATTCGGACCCCTTGTGCCCACTCCACCCCTTGTTCTCTCCCCTACACGCTCCTCACACTTTCCCAAACTGAACTCTTTCCCAATCCCCTCCCCATCCCATCCCTCACCACCCACCACGGACACCAGCACCTGCGTGTGGAGCGCACATGGCTGGGGGACAGCCCCCCCTTGCTGGACGAGGCGGCTTCTTCGGCGCCTCAAACGCAACAACTTCCCACCCCCAACCCAAACCCACCCCCACCCCCACCCCCACCCCCACCCCCACCCCCACCCCTACCCCCACCCTCACCCCCACCCCACACTCTACATCATTCCACGGAGAGCAGCAGCTGCACGTGGACCGCACCTCGCTGGCGGACACCTTCCCCCTGCTGGACGAGGCGGCTGCTTCCACCATTGCCGCGCTGCCAGCTGGCGACGACAGCCTGGCGCAGATCCACGCCATGCTGGCAGCTGCGCCACGTGTCAGTGTGGGAGAGGTGGACGTGGAGGGTGGGGTGGAGGGAGAGGGCACGGTGGGAGCGGCAGCAAGCACGGGTGTAGAGGGGCGAGTAGAGGGGGCGGTGGGGGGAGCAGCAGTGGGGGGGCCAGTGAGGGGGACAGTGGGGGAAGCAGCATGGGAGGAGGCAGTGGAGGAGGCTGTAGGGGAGTGCATGGACCTGTATTTCGTGGCGGAGGGGCTGCACACTCGATTCCACATCGGTGCGTGGCCAGGAGGGCGGCCGGTAGGGCACGTTGGCTGGGAGGGGGAGTGACAGAGCACGCGCGAGGAGGGGATAGGGTGCCAGGGCTGGTGGGGATAGGGTGCCAGGGCTGGTGGGGATAGGGTGCCAGGGCTGGTGGGGATAGGGTGCCAGGGCTGGTGGGGATAGGGTGCCAGGGCTGGTGGGGATAGGGTGCCAGGGCTGGTGGGGATAGGGTGCCAGGGCTGGTGGGGATAGGGTGCCAGGGCTGGTGGGGAAGTGGCATGGCGGTGGGCGGGCTTACAGGAGTGGATGGTTGCAGTGTGCACATTGCGATGATAGGGAGTGCCATGCACATTGCGATGATAGGGAGTGCCATGCACATGGTCATAGGGAGTGCCATGCACATGGTCATCAACAACCTCTATCCCCCTCCCCTTCCCCCTCCTCCTCTCCCCACTCGCTGCCTCCCCCAAACCCTACACCCCAATCAGTTCAGTGACACAGAGGCAGCAGCAGGCGGACAGGGAGGTGGAGGCGAGACAGGTCATGCTGGGGCAGCTGAGATCGCTGGACGACCAAGACAGTGGCTAAAGCTCTCTTTTCCCCCCTTCTCCCTCTCTCCCTCTCCCCACTCACCACCTCCCCCAACCCCCCTCTGTGTGCCATGCAGCCACGCAGAAGCAGCAGCAGGCGGACAGGGAGGCGGAGCTGCGGCAGTTCATGCTGGGGCAGCTGAGAGCGCTGGACGACCGCCGCGACTGGTGGGTGGCGCTCAACCTCACGGGCGACGAGGCCAGTGAGAAGCTCAACACCATGCCGGACGGGGCAGGTGCGTGTGAGACGCCAGGTGGAACGGAATGTACACTTGTGTGAAGGTGTTACATGGTTTGGTGATGCAGTGTATTCCTCACTCACACATCCCTGCACGGCTATACTGGTGCATCCGGGCTGGGTGCATCCGGGCTGGGTGCGTTGACAAGAGAATGGACGTGTGAGTGAGGTCGCCACGGGGAGAGGCCAAGTGACAACAAAGAGCACTGGGGTGAGCGCCGCTCACGGCGTGGCTGCTCCTTTCCTTTCCCCGGATCCTGTCGTCGATTCTAGTGTCACTCGCATTTTCTCTCTCACCTCCCTCACGCCTCCCAGACCCCACAGCAAACTACTCTCTCCCCACCAGACACAACCAGCCTGCTTGAATCCGCCCTCTGCAACCTGCCTTCCATCCCTCCCGTGATCCCCCGCTCTTCACTCTCCCATCCCTCCTCACCCTGCCCATCCCCCACGCCTCTCACCAGAGAAGGCGAAGCTATCGGAGTTCCTCTTCTGGTATCTGCCCTTCCACGCCTGGTTCGACTCCGAGGGGCCCGACCACCCCAAGGCCGTCGCTCACGTGGAGGAGCAGCGCGCTGTGCTGGCAGCCGCCACGTCAGCCGCCAAGTCAGCAGAATCAACCCTGAAAGCCACACAAGAGCAGCTATGGGAGGAGTGCGGGCTGCGGCTGCCCCACAGCAACTGGACGGAGGAGCAGAGCGCGCTGCTGGAGCGATACGCTGCCGTGGCCAATGTGTCTGGCTGCACCGAACAGTGCACCGACTGGGAGGCTATTTACCCCGAGTACGAAACCCAACCGGGGCTAGTCGCCCCGAAGCACGTGTGGCAGAAGCTACCGGAGCACTATCCTGACACGCGCCCCAACGTGTCCTTCATCGTGACGTACGGCGGGCGAGCAGAGCGTGTGCAGGCGCTGGTATCCCGTCTGTACACATGCACGCACGGCATGGCTGGGACTGGTTCTCTGCCGGGCATCCGCGCAGAGATGGTGGTGAGTGTGATGAACCCGGATGTGAGTCTGGAGGCGTGGATGCAGGCGAGGAACGACACGGCGGAGGGCATCTTCGTGGTGCCCGTGCTGCCGAGGCTGGGCGCGGCGCCGCTCATGTTCAACGACCTGGCGAGGATGGCACGGGGGGAGCTGTTGATGCTGCTGGATGGCGACACGCTGCCGCCCGCGTCGTGCGTGTGGCTGGACAGAGTGCTGGCCGCGTTCGCCGCGTGGCCGCGCCTGGCAGTGGCGGGCTTCCGCACCGACGCCCTGGGGGAGGCTGGCCGCGCACAGGAGCGCGTGGAGGGAGAGGAGGCGCCTCAGGGGGCACGTGCTGCTGCCAGCGTGCGGTTCTGGACGGGGCTTGCAGAAGAGATGGAGGGGAGAGGGGGAGAGGAGGGAGGAGAGGTGGGGTGGAGGGACCCGGAGACGGGCGTGGCGATGCACTTCACGGGGCTGGTAACCGCGTTCCCTCTGGTGTTGCGGCGTTCTGTGCTGGAGGACATGGGGTGGCTGGATGAGGCGGATCTGAGGCAGGGGGCGGCGGCCGTCATGAGCGACTGGCACCTCTGCTGCCGTGCATGGCTCTCAGGCTACCAGGTGGGTGCTGGTGGGCTGTGAGGTGGGTGGTGGGCTGTGAGGTGGGTGCTGGGCTGTGAGGTGGGTGCTGGGCTGTGAGGTGGGTGCTGGGCTGTGAGGTGGGTGGTGAAACCAACAGTCTTTGGCTGTTCACCAGCAAGTCCCGTGCTCCTAGCCACTCCCCTGCATCTTCCCCATCCTGCCTATCCCCCCACGTGCTCCCCCCTCCCCTCCCCCTGCAGGTGGCGCGTCTACAGCTGCCCACGGAGGAAGGCGACCATGGGGACTGGCCCACCGTGACACGAGCACAGCACCGCCACGTGCTGCCGGGGCGGGGTGTGTCTGGAGGGGGTGAGCAGGGCAGCGCAGTGGAGTATGGGGAGTACGATGCTGCGATGGCGGGGTACCATGATGACATCGTCAAGGAGGTCGCTCGCTTGAACCACCTGCTCGTTCGCAATGATTAGCGCGGCCTGGTGATGGGGAATGGGGATCTGCCATGCCGGGTTTTGAAGTAGTCAGGCAGAAAAGCTGTCAGGACCGCCGCCAGGTCAATCTCTTCGCTATTGGAAAAAAATTATGGGTTGAATTGATTTTGCTAAAAGGGAAATGTTTGTACCAGATTAAAAAAAAACATAAAACAGTAAGAATGTTTCATTGAGTGGATATGCTGATAAGTCAATAGTGTACCTTTGTTGGACACGTGGAATCTGCAATGATCCAAACGAGTCGCACGAGCTGATAGGTGGATTCGACACACAGAAATCTGGACTTGCTGCTGCCTGCATCCATTGCATTCCATTGCTATGATGGGGACTGCTGTGTGTGACTTTTGGGTCGACTCAAAAGTCGCCTGCTGCACCCATTGCAATTTGCATGCAAGGTAAAGATAGGAGGATTGGTGTCTGCGAGTCTAAGCGAAGCGGCGTGAGAACTGCGGCGTTTCAGCGATACTACTAGTAGTAGTAGCACCTACTAACGCCAAATCCGACGCGCCATATCGGACGGCCACCCGAAACGCGATGCTCGGCGCAGCAATAGGTGCCGTCGATGACCCCTCCTTAGTTCTTGGAGGAGTGACGGGCGAGACGCGCTCGTCCGAGCCGCCTGACGGCGCCGGTGGTGCGAAACTCTCGCCGCCTCACGCGGATTCGCTTAGAGACGCTTCCGACGGTGTCGCCGCTGTAGAGAGTACAAGCAGCGCCGCAGAGTCCGACGCGTCTACTGCGCCGCGCGGACTCGCCGGAGGTGGCGGAGACGCTGTGGAGGACCGCGGTGCGAGCGACGAGAAAGCGCAGACGGCGGAGGAGGGACGCGCTGTAGCGGACGGAAACCCGGCGGAAGGGATGGTGGGGGGCGGAGGGGCGGAGCGGAATGGGGGGATGCAGAGCGCCGCTGTAGGCGACCGCGGGCATGCCGCGACGGAAGGCGTGGGGGGGGCGGCGGCGGACGAGGGGGAGGCTGAGTTGGTGGAGAAGAACGAGGGGGAAGCGACGGGGAGAGGGGAGGCGGAGGGAAGCCGAAAGGAGGAGAGGAAGGACGAGAGCAGCGGCAAAGAGCAGAATGCAGGGGGACAGGGGGTGAACGGGGAGGTGGAAGGAGGGGAGGGAAAGACGGAGGGGAGTGAGGGGGTTGCAGGGCGGCAGCAGGGCAGCAGGCGGGGGAGGTTGCGGGAGATGGTGCGGCGCGCGGAGCAGCAGCGGCGCGTGGTGGGGTACCTGGACGTGGGCAGGGAGGTGGCGCGCTCCGTGGAGCGCCACCACCGCGCACAGCACGGCGCGGGCGCGCCTAGGGGTGAGGGGCAGGCAGGCGGGGGGAATGGGGGCGAAGGGCAGGGGGGGCACGGGGACAGGGAGCACGGTGGTGGGGCGGGCAAACTCCCACTCCAGCACGGCCACGCGCCTCACCACGCCTTCACGGATTCCGCCCCCCTGCACGCCCCCCCGCTCGCGCCCCTGCACGCGCCCCTGCACGCCCCCCACTCCCCCCTCCGCGCGGGCGGGCGGTTGCAGCAGCTGCAGGCGGAGGAGTGGGGAGGCGGCGGGGAGGGGGGCATGGGGCGCGACGTGAGCACGAACAGCAACATGGGCGCGGCGGAGTGGCTGGAGGGGTGTTTGGAGGAGGAGGAGGAGTGGCAGCAGTGGCGCATCGACCCGCAGCAGCTGGTCATCAAGAGCTTCCTTGCACGCGGCACGTATGGCTCCGTGCACCGCGGGGAGTACCGCGGGAAGCAGGTGGCTGGTGCGTTGCAGGTATATGGGGCATGGGGTATGGGGCATGGGGTATGGGGCATGGGGTATGGGGCATGGGGTATGGGGCATGGGGTATGGCGTGTGGTCCGTGGGGCATGGAGCATGGGGTGGGGCATGGGGTATGGGGTATGTGGGGCATTGGGTATGGGGTATGTGGGGCATGGTGCATGTAGCTAGTATGGAACCCCGCATTCTCGCAATCAACGCACTTTGCCTGTTCCTCTGCATGCATATCTGGTGTGAATCTGCATGCGTGCATCAATCCATGATGCATATATGTGTGTGCATGGTGGTCACATGGTGCTCGCATGGGCAGTGAAGCTGATGGATTGGGGCGAGGTGGACAAGGCATCGCGTGCCAAGCTCACATTCCTGCGAGACGTGTTTGCACAGGAGGTGCTCGTTTGGAGCACACTGGAGCATAAGAACATCTGCCAGGTCAGTAGCTTAATACAGCACTTTTTAGCCATATATCTCACCCATCTATCCGCTGCTCGCACCACATTGAACCACATGCCCTGATTTGCTCGCTTCTGCTGCATGTTGATAGGCTTCTGCTTCAACATGTTCATCGCGTCAGCCTTTGCCCCCCCACCCCGGCTCCCCACCCCTGCCCCCGCCCTGCTTGTATGTGGTGTAAACCGTGCAGTTCGTGGGGGCGCTGCTGGGCGGGCCCGACTCGTACACCTTTCCGTCGACGGTGGAGGACCACCGGGGCGTGCTGCACGTGGGCAGCCATGTGTGCTCCTCCTCGCTTGTGCCATGTTCAACGCTGCCACCCCTGACCCCCTCCCCTCCCCCTGCGTGCGTGCGGTACGGCCTGTGCAGTTCGTGGGGGCGCTGCTGGGCGGGCCCGACTCGTACACCTTTCCATCCACGGTGGAGGATCACCGGGGCGTGCTGCGAGTGGGCAGCCACGTGTGCTGCGTGGTGCTGGAGTTCCTGGCGGGCGGCACGCTGAAGCAGCTGCTCATGAAGCACTATCACAAGAAGCTCTCCGTGCACCGTGTCGTGCACCTGGCACTGGATATTGCTGAGGGGTGAGGGGTGGTGAGGGATGAGAGGTGGTGAGGGGTGAGGCGCGGTGAGGAGTGAGGCACGGTGAGGGGTGAGGCACGGTGAGGGGTGAGGCACGGTGAGGGGTGAGGCACGGTGAGGGGTGAGGCATCATAACTGGCTATTTGGCATGATGGGTGTTGACTGTGATGGCACAGCAGGGTGGTAGGGTGGTTAGTTGCATGCACTGCTTCTTGTATTGCATTGATTCGCAGGCAGCCCCCGATCATCCTCTCTCATACCCATGTGCCTCTTTCTCTCTATCTGCGTTCCCTGTCGGGCGGCACAGGTTGGAGTATCTGCATTCAAGAGGCATCGTGCACCGCGATGTGAAGTCAGACAACATGCTGCTGGACAAACACCACCGGTGGGTGGGGGCACTGGGATGTCACCATGCTTGCGCTGCTGTATGTGAGCCTTGTGCCAGTCTGCCAGTGTCTGTGAGTGAGTGGTGTCAATCTGCGTCCATCAGGGTACCAGCCCCTCCATCGGATGGCTCACCGCACCTCACCCTCTGCCCTGCCTGTCCACGCATCCCCGTCCTTGCCGCTAAACCACTGCGTTCTCCCATCTTGCCTCACTGCGCTGCACTGCACTGCATGCATGCATGTATGTAGTTTAAAAAAAAAATCTGCACGCCTCGCAATCTGGGCCTGGAATAATATACAGCGAATGTAGGAGGACTCCCTGCAAGAAACAGAGAGTAGTACTTGGTTGTAAAAGTTCAATGAATCCCAGGTGTTTGATCAGGTGGTTAAAAGGGATGGCCCATAAAGGTCTCGAACCTGTGACCTTCGCGTTTTAGCACGACACTCTAACCAGCTGAGCTAATAGGCCTGTACTTGCATTATGTGCATCAATACGGAAACACATGCATGGGTGCATGCGTGCATGGATGCATGCATGCGTGCATGGGTGCATGGGTGCATGCATGCGTGCATGGGTGCATGGGTGCATTGTTAGGGTTGGTTCGCCCAACCACGGAACCTATGGCGAAAATCTCTACGACGGCGGAATGACGGCGAAATGGAAGCGCGTGGATGATTCTAGGTGAAACGGTGGAAATCGGCCTACGGCGTGACAAGGGAGAGAGAAATCGAGAAGGAATTTGTGAGAAGGTGGAAGAAGCATCGAGATTGAAGTTGGCGAGGGGAAATTGTGGTTCGAGCTCGAGGCGTGTTCGAGAAGGTTCCAGATTCGGTCTTGAGGAGTGTTCACCGAATTCGGTTCGGTTGCGTGTGCGACTCGGGGTGAAACGAAGCACACGCGGTTACTTGGGAAACAAGTGAAGTTACGAATCGCATTTTGTACCTTGGTTGACTATAAAACTGCTTGTACTCTTTCTGGAAATCACAACATTGATACCAATCAAATTCTGAAAATTGTTGAAGTGTGTATTGACAACTTCAAGCAAAGCTGCACATATCATTGGATTCGGGAGATCGTGGAGAACACGATAGGCGATAGCAAGTAGACTATTGCCGACTAAGGTGCTTACGATCCTAAGAACTGGTATCAGAGCTTGACGAACGGGCTCGTCGATCGTCGCGAATTCACTTGGTGCGCTAAGTGAAATTAGTGGAGAAGAGGAGTCATTCACGCCTACGCTATGGGAGACGAGGCGAGTTCGGGTTCCAGTGTGAGTCTTGGAGACCCGCAGTTGAAGGCTCTTCTCGAGGCCCTTGCGAGTGGCCGATTGGTGGCGAAACCGACGATCGGGCTCAGTGAAGCCCAGCGCTTCAATGGAAGCAACTACAGCGTGTGGAGAAAGAAGTTCATTCGAAGGGAAGAGGAAGTGGACCTCTTGCCGTACTACCGTCCCGACGAGGAGACGATGGAGGGAGTTGCGCCTTCCACGACGGACACGAAGGAGAAAATAGCGGCGTTTAAAAAGCAAAGTAAGCAAGCTTTCTTTCAGCTTTGTCATTCAGTTGCCGATGGAATCGCGGTGGATTTGGACCAGTTTGCAAGGGAGCTGAACTCTGCACAGAAAGCGTGGGAGTACCTGGAGTCCACATACATGGGTACGAACGATGTCAACAAAAAGGCGATCAGGAAGCAACTGCTGACGCTGAGCATGGAGAAAGGCGAGAAAATCATCACCTACATCAACAGGGCGAAAAGCTACAACGACGATTTGCGGGTGATGGGAGCCGCGGAGACGGAGCACGAGATGATTGACTATATCATCAAAGGACTTCCTAAAGAGTGGGAATCCCACATCGGTATGTTTACGTACCAACCGCCGAGAGTTTGATGAAGCTGCAGGAGATTCTACAGTCGCTTGAGACGGTTAAGGAGATGAGAAAGAAGAAAGCAGCAGCAGTAGCTAAGGAGTTTGATGAGGAGAGGCCCGCTTTGGTGAATGCCACGAAGGCGTTTGGAGCATGCTACCAGTGTGGAAAGCGCGGGCATAAGGCGATAAACTGCTACGACAATCCGCGAAGCAGACACTACAAGGGCAAAGCTGTGGAGAACGACAAAGGAGAAAATGCAGGAGCGGAGTGGCAGCAGAAACGAGGTTTTGGCGGCAAGTGTGATTACTGTGGGCGCTACGAGCATCGTGCTGCAGAATGCTACTCCAATCCGAAAAGCAGGAGCTACAAGGGTCCGTCGCAGCAGAGGAATGTGGCGACAAAGGCGAATGTAGCGGAAGCGGAAAATGAGGATGTGATTTTTGGAGGAGCCTATCTTGCAAACGTGGTGCGTTTACCGAAGGATGTTCGTCAGACGGACGGACGTGAAAAGACGGCATGGTTCATGGACAGCGGATGCACGCGTCACATAACATTCAGGTCAGATTGGATGGAGAATGTGAGAGAGTCGAGTGAGCGTTATATATTGCAAGGTAACAGTGGGAAGTTGCCAGTGACAGGAGAGGGCGACGTAGTGCTGCGGAGTCCGTATGGAGTAGTGAAACTGGAGAGTGTGTTGCTGGTTGCGGATTTGAAGGTGAACTTGGTCAGTCAGTCACAGCTTGATGACTTGGGGTGCAAGATATTCTATGACAGAGGTGAGGTGACTGTTTTTTGTCCTAAGTGGGAGAAGTATGCGGATGGTTATTTCAGTGACGGTTTCTACGAGATGAACTTGGTCGCGATGAACGATAAGGATGAGATCTATGACGATCCTGAGTCTACTGAGGATGATGAGAGTGAGGTCTCGGAGGATACGGCAGCAAGTGTCGAGGCAGCAGTGAAGCAGGAAGAGGAGATAGTGATCACGGATGTGACGAAAGTGAACGATGGAGATGGAGACGGTGTCAACACATTTGCAGCAACGATCGTGATTGAAGATGAAGCAGTAAATGCAAAGTGTGTGGGAGTTGAAGCTGTGAAAGGGGACATCATGTTGAAAGGATCAAAGGCGAATGCAACTGCAAAGGGGCAAGTGCTTAAGGAGGATGAACGCGTTGAAGGGTACGAGACCCGAGAGGTGTTGGGTGGAAAGATGCCGAGGAGAAGCGAGAGGCATAAGAAAATCTCTCATGGTTTGGATGTCAAGGCGCTCAACTTCAAGACACGTAAGCAGAGGTTCAAGGTGCAGGAGCTGCGAGGGAGCGTGAAGCCGACTTAGACCCTCTGAAGGCTACAAGGAGCAGGGAAGGAATGCGAGTGGAGTTCGTGGTTGACGAACCACAGGGGAGATTGTTAGGGTTGGTTCGCCCAACCACGGAACCTATGGCGAAAATCTCTACGACGGCGGAATGACGGCGAAATGGAAGCGCGTGGATGATTCTAGGTGAAACGGTGGAAATCGGCCTACGGCGTGACAAGGGAGAGAGAAATCGAGAAGGAATTTGTGAGAAGGAATTTGTGAGAAGGTGGAAGAAGCATCGAGATTGAAGTTGGCGAGGGGAAATTGTGGTTCGAGCTCGAGGCGTGTTCGAGAAGGTTCCAGATTCGGCCTTGAGGAGTGTTCACCGAATTCGGTTCGGTTGCGTGTGCGACTCGGGGTGAAACGAAGCACACGCGGTTACTTGGGAAACAAGTGAAGTTACGAATCGCATTTTGTACCTTGGTTGACTATAAAACTGCTTGTACTCATTCTGGAAATCACAACATTGATACCAATCAGATTCTGAAAGTTGCTGAAGTGTGTATTGACAACTTCAAGCAGAGCTGCGCATATCATTGGATTCGGGAGATCGTGGAGAACACGATAGGCGATAGCAAGTAGACTATTGCCGACTAAGGTGCTTACGATCCTAAGATGCATGCATGCGTGCATGGGTGCATGCATGCGTGCATGGGTGCATGCATGCGTGCATGGGTGCATGGGTGGGTGCATGCGTGCATGTATGCATTCATGCATGTGTGGATGTGTGCATGTGTGCATGCGTGCATGCATGCATGTGTGCATGTGTGCATGTGTGGATGTGTGCATGTGTGCATGTGTGCATGCGTGCATGCGTGCATGTGTGCATGTGTGCATGTGTGGATGTGTGCATGTGTGAGTGTGTGCATGTGTGCGTATGTGCATGTGTGCGTGTATGCATGTGTGCGTGATGTGCATGCATGCATGACCACAGGGTGGTGAAGATAGCAGATTTTGGGGTGTCACGGGTGAAGTCGGACAGCAGCACCATGCACCACAAGACCGGCACCTACGGCTACATGGCGCCTGAGGTAGGATCCTCTGCCTCCACACCCATACTTGCATGCTTGGCGCCTCAGGCATGCGTGCTTGGCGCCTGATGCATGCTCATTGCCACTGATTCAATGCTTGCCACCCTTGCTTGCTTATCGCATCCCTCCTCGTTTTGTCCAATTCTTGCCTCTCCGCTACCCCCCCCCCCCCCTTTGTTGCTGTGCTCTGCTGCACCTCACTGCATCTCCCCCCTGCTCCTCCCTGCCCCGCCGGCCACCAGGTGTTGAAGGAGCGGCCGTACGACCACAAGGCGGACGTTGTACAGCTACGGCATCCTGCTGTGGGAGATCTACTGCTGCGACAACCCCTTCCCCTACTCCGACCTCGACCCCACTGAGATCGCCTCCACTGTCAACCAGGTGCCTCCACTGTCAACCAGGTGCCTCCACTGTCAACCAGGTGCCTCCACTGTCAACCAGGTGCCTGCACTGTCAACCAGGTGCCTGCACTGTCAACCAGGTGCCTGCACTGTCAACCAGGTGCCTGCACTGTCAACCAGGTGCCTGCACTGTCAACCAGGTGCCTGCACTGTCAACCAGGTGCCTGCACTGTCAACCAGGTGCCTGCACTGTCAACCAGGTGCCTGCACTGTCAACCAGGTGCCTGCACTGTCAACCAGGTGCCTGCACTGTCAACCAGGTGCCTGCACTGTCAACCAGGTGCCTGCACTGTCAACCAGGTGCCTGCACTGTCAACCAGGTGCCTGCACTGTCAACCAGGTGCCTGCACTGTCAACCAGGTGCCTGCACTGTCAACCAGGTGCCTGCACTGTCAACCAGGTGCCTGCACTGTCAACCAGGTGCCTGCACTGTCAACCAGGTGCCTGCACTGTCAACTGAATATGCGCTTCACATGAGGCAATGCTCTTCCCATCCCTGGCTCACCGTCGCTGCTAGCTTCACCAGATTGGCCTCTGCATGCCTCCCAACCTCCAACCTCCACCACCATGCCCCCTGCTTCGTCACTTGATCCTTTTCCCACAAGCCTCCCATATTTCCCCTTCATCGCTACTCCCACTCTCTCACAACCAGCCGCCCTTCCCCCCTCACCATGCACCCATGTGTCACCTCACCATGCACCCATGTGTCACCTCACCATGCACCCATGTGTCACCTCACCATGCACCCATGTGTCACCTCACCATGCACCCATGTGTCACCTCACCATGCACCCATGTGTCACCTCACCATGCACCCATGTGCCTCACCATGCACCCATGTGTCACCTCACCATGCACCCATGTGTCACCTCACCATGCACCCATGTGTCACCTCACCATGCACCCATGTGTCACCTCACCATGCACCCATGTGTCACCTCACCATGCACCCATGTGTCACCTCACCATGCACCCATGTGTCACCGCTCCTGTCGCACGTGCCAGGGCCTGCGGCCGGACATCCCATCGTGCTGCCCGCCACAGCTGGCGGAGCTGATGCGGCGGTGCTGGCACGGCGAGGCGGGCAAGCGGCCGGACATGAGTGAGGTGGTGAGGCGCCTCAAGGCTATTGACTGCCGCCACGCCACGCCCATGCGCCCCGTGGAGGGCGATGACTCCTCCTGCTCCCTCATGTGATGTCACTGCCGCAAGGCAATGCATTGCCACCCTTTGAAAATGGGTGAGATGGCGTTACACACAGCCCTTTCCGCCTTGCTGAATCGCCTCTGAGGCCAATGCAACCTGTGCAGGATGAGTCGGGTATGGTGTTCTCATGTGGACTCTGGTGAACTTCTATGTTGTGGAAAGAATTAGAGGGTATTCCGTATGTCCCTGTACAGAAGTGCCCTGTAATACCATAGCACCTTCTGGTGGCTTCAGGGAAAAGGGTGCCTATCTGAACAGCCCCTTCCTGATTTACGGGCCACCAATATTTCCGCCCCTTGGGCATCAACTAGGGACCATTTGGTTGAACAGCTGCACGAGGACTTCCTAGATATACTGTCGAGGCCAAGATGGTATGGTAGATAATGCTAAGTTGTTGAATGGTTGTTTTGTATACGGATGCTTTCTTAGAAGATGTTTTCGCTGTAAGCAAAGCACCCTGTCGTGAAACATGTGAAAGGGCAGCCCCCTAATCTCCCGAACACGCCGCCAGACCCAAGAGGAGAGTCCAGCAGAATGGAAACCTGCGCGACAGAAAAGGCAAAGAACTGGAAGTGCGTGCCAAGCAAAGAACTACGAAGTGAATGCCTTGCTCGTACGAGTGGAAACGCACGCGAGGAACGCGATTGTGCAGCGCGGAATAATAGTCCGAGAGTAAATAACGACATTGTACGTCGACCTCGCATTTCCTCCCCTGGTAAATGCACACCCCTTTACCGCTGCCCCTGCTTCACCTACCATCGCCCGCGCCGTCCGACCTTGCTACAACTTCCCTTCGCCTCACTTCAATTTCGCGTCGCCCTCACTTCCCTTTCCCCAATGACCCTAAACCATCAACATGAACTGTCATAACTACACCCTCAGGTTCAGTCAAAGTTGACGAGCCGAATTGCGCAGTTACGGAAAACCCAGCAGTGAACGAAGTTGGACCAGCCCTAATCTCGTTACACCGTTCTTGGCTCCCTGCACCAGAGCACGCTGTGCTGTGCTCTCGCTGCGAGCACGTCAGGCCCACTGCCATCACCCAGCGCTCCGCTCATCACGGACCAGCGAGGTCCGCGTCGCGTCACTCGAAACATTTTCAATTGGAGCATCCTTCGTTCCTCTCAGCTGCGCGCATACGTACCTGGCCTTTGCGCAACTTTTCCCCTTGCTACGACCCTCGCTGTCATGGCCCGCTGGGCCCCCCACTCCGTGCTGCTCTTGGTGCTCGCAGCCGTGGCGCTCCTCGCCTTCCTTTCCACCCTCCGCACGCGCCTCGACCCATCCCGCCTTCCAGATGCACCCTCCAGCGCCCCGTCTCCCCACCGCCACAGCCGCCACTCCAGCTACCGCCGGCGCCTGGAGACTCGGCGGAGCAATCCCGGGCGGAAGGCGGTTCGGCTGCACGCGGCGACGGCGGAGGCGAACCCGCGGCTGGAGCACATCACGTTCGACCCGCTCGTGGCGGAGATGGAGGCGCAGCGCGACGACCGCAAGTGGGAGGAGGCGCAGTTCCGCCGGCGCGGGGAGGAGGTCCGCGTAGCGCACGTCGCCAAGGCGCGGGGAGAGGGTGACGCGGGTGGCGGGCGGAGAAGTGTGGAAGAGGCGTCGAGGATAGAAGCGGCGGATGAAGAGTTGAGGCGGCTGGAGGACAACCCCAACCCCAACCCAGGTGGGCACGTGGGCGGGCAGGGCGCGCATGAGCACAGTGTGGCAGGGCGGGGGGTGGCTGCTGTGACGCACCTGAGTGTACGCAGTGAGTGGGGTGGGGACACAGCAGAGGAAGTAGTCGGTGTTGGCACGGTTTCAATGTGCCAATGTGCGCCGTGTACTGTGCGCACATGCGTGGTGTGAGACGCCATGTCGCTCGGTGCATGTGTTCCATTCCATGACAACCTCTGCCGTCCCACTGTAACCTTCGCCTTGTTTCTGCTTCTCCTGTGCCCGTGCCCATACACTTGCCCGTGCCTCTGGGTTTGCCTGTGTCGTGCATGCGTGGAGTGGCAGAGGCGGGGGAGCACAAGGTGAATGTGACGAACCGCCTGAGGGTGCTGTTCCCGCTCATTGACAGTGACGACAGGGACGGGCTCGTGTCGCTCAGTGAACTCGCCATGTGGCAGGTACGCCATGTGGCAGGTACGCCATGTGGCAGGTGCGCCATGTGGCAGGTACGCCATGTGGCAGGTACGCCATGTGGCAGGTACGCCATGTGGCAGGTACGCCATGTGGCAGGTACGCCATGTGGCAGGTACGCCATGTGGCAGGTACGTCAGTCGCCATGTGACAGGTATGCCATCATGCGCTGCACTCACATCAGTGCCATGCTGGTCGCCATGTTGTGTTGACATGACATGCCCTGTGAGGCCACACCATCCTCCTCCCCCCTCTTGCTCGGCACCGCCTCATGTCCCTCCCTGCATCCGCCCTGTCTCCCTCAACACCTCTCGTGCCCGCCGGACTCCACTCTGTCCTGCACCTCCCCCACCCCCTCCCATGGGAGCCTCCAGGTGCAGCAGGGGCACCGGAGCAGTGAGCGGCGCACGCGGAGGGAGATGCAGGTGGTGGACAGCGATGGGGACGGCAAGGTGTCGCTTAAAGAGTACCTGCATGATGACTCGCCGGGGGAGGAAGGTGGGCACTGGAAGGGAGGGGGTTGAAATGTGTGTTCTGGGTCGACTCAACAGAGGTGGTGGACAGCAATGGGGATGGCAGGGTGTCGCTCAAGGAGTATCTGCACGACAACACGCCGGGGGAGGAAGGTGGGCACTCATAAGCAGCAGGGGCTTTTGAGTCGACTCAAAAGAGATGCAGGTGGTGGACGGCAATTGGCAGGGTGTCGCTCAACGATTGCCTGCATGATGACTCGCCGGGGGAGGAAGGTGGGCACGGGAGGGGGTCAATACTTGAAACGCAGCAAGTGTGTCATGCAGGATGAGGTGAGGTAAGGAGGATGATGACGTGGAAAAAGTGGGTGAGTGGCTTGTGTGTTTGAAAACTCAATCAAGATGCTCCATTTGGAGGGACAACTTCCTTGCTCCTGCACCCCACCATCACCCTGCATAAATTCACTTGCACCTCCCTAAAGCCTAACTAAACCCAAACCTGGAAAATAAACCTGGTGGTGGGTGCATGACGTGGCATGGTGCAAGTGTGTGTGGCACGGTGCGTGTGTGTGTGGCATGGTGTGTGTGTGGCACGGTGCGTGTGTGTGTGGCATGGTGCGTGTGTGGCATGGTGTGTGTGTGGCATGGTGCGTGTGTGGCATGGTGTGTGTGTGGCATGGTGCATGTGTGGCATGGTGCATGTGTGGCATGGTGCATGGTGTGGTACAGTCCACGTGGAGGGCGACGACGACATGGCTGAGTTTGTGAAGACGGCCAGGGAGCGCTTTGC